TGGGCCCCTCGGTGCGGTCCGAGATGGGACCGGAGAGGTTGGGGATCCAGAGGAAGCCCTCGTCGAAGATCTTTGCCTTTGCGATCGCCGTCACCGAGTAGTACACGCCGAGGAAGACCGGGATCTGCGCGAGCGACGGCAGGCAGCCGGCGAGCGGGTTGACGTCAACCTTCTCGAAGAGGGTTCCGATCTCGTTGTTCTTGAACTGCGTGTTGTCGGCATACCATTTGTTGAGCAGGTCCTGCTGCGGCTTGATCGCCTTCATCTGCGCCGACGAGTCGATCTGCTTCCAGTTGAGCGGAAGCGTCACAAGCTTGACGCCGAGCACAAAGAGGAAGATCGAGAGGCCGTACGCGTTGGGCACGCCGTTCGCGCTGAGCAGGTCGTGCAGCGTGATCAGACCGTCCTCCACGGTCTTGATGTACGTCCCCCACCACCCCAGCGTGCCCTCTGCCGCGCGGATCGCCTCGGCCGTCTGCGGCCGGTCGGCTAGCAGCAGCGACGCGCCGTGCATGCCCTGCTGCAGCGCGTCGTGCAGCCCGTCGACGGCGAGAGCGGCCGGAGCGGCGTGGCGGCGCGGCACCTGCCGCAGCGCCGGGCCAGCCTGGAAGGCGGCCGCGCCGCCGCAGAGAGCGAGCCAGATCACCCTCATCGCCCAGAGTGACAAAAAAAATTTTTCAAAAGGGAATTTTTTAAATTTTTAACGTGCTGCGTCCCACAGCAGACCAGAACCGACGCCTCTCTAACAACTCATCAGCACTCCGTTCTCGTAACGAGCGAGCGAGAATGCCCAACCATCACGTCCGCATCCGCTCCGGCCCCGACTCCATCGGTTGGGCCGGCCTGCCCTCGGACCCGCGGTACGGATGCCTCGATCCGCCGCCGTTTGGCAAGCAGTGCACGCTGCCTCGCGCGCTGGCTCTGGCGGCGTGCCTGTCGATGCCTCGCTGCGTCGCGGTCGTGTGCCCGTCGCAGGAGCCCTACCGGCCTGGCGGCGGAGGCAAGGTGCCCGAGCCGATTTGCCAGCTTCGGAGCCACGGCGATGCAGACGAGCGGCGGCACGGGATGTGCCGCCCGTCGGGCTGCGTGACGGCAGTGCTGGAGCCGATCGACGAGGCGCGGGCGGCGGCGGTGGCGGCGGCGGCGGCGGCGGCGGCGGCGTCGGCGCGCTCGCCGA